ACGAGAGCTCGTCCTCGAGGCTGGAGCAGACCCGATTGGATTCCTCCTGAGCAATGTCAATATAACGGGTGAGTATTTGTACGTTGCAAACTATATTGAATAAATCTCCAGCAACGCGGGTCTTCATTGGGCGCACGAAGAAGTGTGTCCGTGTAAAGGTCGGATATATCTTCATGAAGAGATAAAGGGTGCAGACTGAAGTTATTTCCCAGATAACGACCTAAGAATCGGGCTTCATTGTAGCTCCTGTCATGCTAAAATGCCGCGGTGAGAGGAGATTTTGTGACCTGTCCGGCTCGTACATTCCCTCCACCATGCCCTTTCTAAGAGCACGCATCGTAATTTTGCACCTTAAATTTGAAGCTTAGGAATACTGCGCTTGTAAGTTCGTCTGGCATGATTGGAGCATCTTCGATCTCTCAGTTTGCCACCAATTAAACACCAAACATTCCAAGCTCAAACATCCAACCTTCAGCGCTAAAAGTACGCCCACCTTAGCAAGCGCCATTCGTCTTTCGTAATCTAGTTGCAGTTCCGCCTGTTTTTTGGTCGCTAGCCGTTCCGTTTCTTCCGCCCGCTCTTCCGCTTCCGCTCGGGCGGCCGCCCCCCGGGCATACCGCGCCAGCAAATAGAAGCACTGCAGCCGTACCTGACGGAGCCCAGAGGAAGCGAACCGGTCAGAAGACCTGTGTTTCCAAAATACTCTTCACGGAACTTTTATCCGCAATGAACCTTGAGCAGAACTTCGTTTTACTCTGGCAGACACAACTCCTTTACTTCTGATGTCTTAGCTGTCTGAAAGGTTAGTCAATATTCTTAGTCGATTCAAACAACGAACATTGATGACCCTACGTTTTCCTTCATCGAGCTTCCAGCAGGTTTTGATGAGGCTCCAATAGGCTTCTGATGATTTTAAAAGTCAGGCAGAAGTAGGAGGAGGTGGGTCTCTCCGCGTCTTCTCGAGCACCTCAAGAACCTCGGTTTGATACGGCGTCTTTTTCTTGGTGGTGGGACTAGTTTACAAGCTAGAAGGACGAGAATTCATAAGGCGAACCAGAAAAGTCCAGAGCTGGAATGGTCAAACATTGTTTGTACTATGCGAGTGCAAAGTGATCCCCACCCCAAATACAAACAAATACAAATACATATACAAAATACAAACTTAAGCACTGGTAAAAGAGGCTTTACCTGCTTGGCACGTGCTGCATTGTCCTCCTCTGTTTTTTCAAGCTCCTTCTCTCTGTGCCGAGCCCTTACCAGCTCTTTCTCCGATGCCTCTAGCCGTTTGTCCCACGCCTGTGGAGAGAAGATCCAGCAGTCACAATCTCATTGGGCCCTTTTGAAACCACGTTCCTGGCCTTTAGAGGGGGAAAGTGACCTCGGCTCGTCCCATGTGACCCTTGACACGGCAAAAGCAACAGTCAGTGTCACATGGCCCGTTCGTACACTCCTATGATGTTTGTGCGCTATGCATCAACAAGCTGTCTAACTGGTTAAGGAATGTCTTGATTTAAAGGCTTTCTTTTGGGACCTCTTCAAAAGTCCCGGTGTGAAAGCTGTGGGAATTCGGCAAGGAGTGGAGTCGTAAGAAAACGCTGAAGGTCCTCAGGTCGTGGGTTGTTGAGGTTTCTGAGCTCCTAGAGAACCTGAACCACAAGCTTGGTGATGTTTCAGGAAGACTTCTTCTGAAACACTCATAGCTTTTCAGCTCCCGAAAAAATGCAAGCCATGGAGCTTGATGTCCATTCCAGACTTATTGAAGAAAGGTGCGATGGCTCCAGATCTACTACAGGTACTAGATCCTGCTGCGCTGAACCTGGGCCGTTCGATGGATAGCCTCTGGATCTTTGAACAAATCATCTCCTGCAAATCGGGCAAGATTTTGTGATCAGTTCCAAACCGCCTTGGGTCAAGCGGCCAGGTTTGACCGCACCTGCAGTAGCAGGCGGTCGTTAGTGCAGGAAAGCACGTTAGATGGACACATTCTCTTTCGAGCATGTGGGTCCCTCAATCCCTTCATCGGAACCCCAAGGCCCTCAGCACACAAACCGGCTGACATGCTCCAGAACTTGACAACGTTTGCATTTCACAAACGGGTTTAGCCCTCTTCCACAAGAGCTTTTGGCAACTGACCACGGATGGCTATGGGCTGGCAATGGGCTGGTTAAATAGTGGTTGTACTATGTCCGATATTCAGACTTGAGCAGTAAGCAGCCTTATAACATGGCTATTAAACCCACGGTTGATTGTCGAATAACCCGCGAAGTAGATTCGTCTGGTTAACAACCAAACCTTCCTTTTCTGCAGATCGCCCGCACCCACTTTCTCCCCCTTACCTCGTTCGCCTCCTGCAGCTCCCCTTGCGCCTCCTCCCCCGCCCAGATCTTCTTTTTGCACGACAAGTATGAAAATTGCTCGGTTAGATTGTTGGTCAGCTTGACTCTTTAATCTTGTTGCAGCGCAGCCATCCTGAATCAGTATCTTATCTCATGAGATATTTTCTGGGTTAGCATTCTTAGCCTCTTTTCATCTGCAGCAACATCGTGGACCAGTATTACAAGAGCGGGTACATTTAGGAGCAGTATAAGTACAGCGACGAAGGGGATGGCAAAGGTTCACATCCGTTTACCGGGTGATCTGCCCCTGGTTGTTCTTATGATGGCGGACCAATTAGCATAGCTTGCGTTGGTACAAGCAAACTACGTGTCGATTATGCATAGTAACGGGCAGCACAGACGACAAATCAAGCTCTGTTTATTCCTCTATGCTGATGGGAACGAGAAATTTCTGTCGCTTGCCGATAGCAACTCATGTAAACGCCAAAGATTGCAAGGGCCAATGAGTTACATGAGATGCGGGGACCGCAAGGTGAATCTGCGTGAATCCGACGAGTCTGATCGACCATTCGCTGCCGTCAACTGATTCTAAGGTTGATCGACGCTGGCTCGACGGACCTAACGGTCCCTCTGCATATATGCGAATGTCGGATTGAGGGCCGAGATTGGCCTCAATTGATTTCTCGATCATGCACTGGGCCGGGCAGGATCGAGCTAAAGCTAATTACGTGAATGCATGATTGCCATTGAGATGAGTGATTATGCCGTATATGTACGTCGGCGAGCACCGCAGTACGCAGGTCAACGTTCCAACTACGCTGACCGTCGTTCCCGGCTATGCATGATAACTATGTGCGAAACATGCACTCCATTTGTGGCAGCCGGCGAGGAACGCATTCACGTGGCCGGGCCCGCATGCATTTCTGCGCCATGCCTGTCTACGTTGATCGTCAGGAACCTGAAACCTGATTGAAAACGTTCTAGAATTCACTCACAAGATCATTTCCTTCAAATTTTCTGTAAATAGTCATACATGGATTGGTTGGGTTTCCTAGCTAGCCTGCCTGGCTGATCGACAGTCATGCCGTTAGATGTCCTGGCACCGCCGCCCGGTCGGCGTGCAAGTTGAGCCCGCGGGCCTGGCCCGCCTGGCCGGGCACATGTCAATTATACAGTATGGACTGAGACAGCCGTTGAACGTTCAACGATACTGTGCCGATTGACCGTTATCTACACATACATCAAACTTACGTCAGATCTGACACTGATTGTGCTACTACGCAAGGGATCGAGGTTCTCTTGAAGCTCCCGGACACTACCGGATATCTCTCAGTAACCTAATTACTCCTGATTTTGCACTTAGTTTGGGCCGCCAATGTATCAAGGCTCACGCTATCGATCTTGACCAGACCCGTACGATGTAGCTATACAGAACATTACGACTCCAAGGGCAGCAACTTCTGCAAGAAAGGGACCAACTTCAAGGGCAGCCTGTAAAATTTTGGCAGCGTCTTTCTGTCGCCCTGCTTCCTCCCTTTGCTTGCCCGCTTTGCTCCCGTTTCACTTTCCACATCTCTCACAGAGACAACTTTGAGCCGGCGCCCTTTTGCAATTACTGGAACAAAGACCTTGTCGCGTCTGCTCTGCGACAGTTGTGCTGCGCACTCGAGACACCTCTTCTGGTACTCCCCATCGTAGTTGGTTAGGTACCGGCCACGTGTCACGTCCGGACCGTCGTGCGTCCGATGACAGACCACAAAAACCCCTTCCATGAGCACGGCTCTCCTTCCCTCGGGCTTGTACAGCACAAGCGGTTTGTCCGGTTCGTACGCGGTGCGTACCGGGAGCGACTCAGAGTTCCGGACGTCCCGTGGAAAGTACTCGGTGCCCATCAGCCGGGGGATCCTCCTTGGGCCGCATCGGAACCATTTCTGGGGTCCCTGCAAAGTAAGGTGTAAGCTTCAAGAGGACGCTTGTGCTGGAATTATAATCCAGATGCGTCGAATGTCAGATTTTCCTACCGCCCAGAGAACTTTGGAGAAGCGCCGACGGCCCGTGTTGCTTTTGTTCCTTTTCTCCTATCGAGCGTCTCACCTTCACTGACACCTTTCGATTACCTTCATCTTTTGGCAGTGGCAGAAAGCACCTGCTTACGGAACGATCCAGCCCTGTTGACAGCAGATAGAAATGATACACCAAAGCCTCTTCAAAACCTAAATTACGATAACCCATCAACTGAAAGGTTGCCCAGTATACGAATCACCGATTGGGATGCCAAAAAGACACGACGGACTTGCCTTCTCATGGGAGCTTTCGAGTCAGTCGCTTCCTCCCTAGAATGAAGAGGAACCTCTCTTCCCTCTGACAAAGATGTAAAAGAACTGAACAGATCCGTTTGGCAATATGTAGGCCATGATTGTGATGACTCAAATCTCTACTTCTCAGCAGTTCGACTGACGGAACGAGATCGACAGCTGGCTCCGTCCAGGGTTGACAATCACTTGGAAAAGCGCCTTGCGAAATAACAGGCATCAAAGAACACGAAGCAAAGAAGCTCTCAAACTTCGTGAACCCCTGTCCACTTTTCAGATGAAGCAAGACAGCTAGCGGTTCGTGTGCGGCAATCTATGGCGAATAGAATCCAATCCACCACCGAACAAATCTCGGAGAACTTACAAAAGGTATTGAGCCATTTATCAAGCTTTAAGACTTCGGCACCGCAGATAAGCTTTCCTATGTGCCTTTGCTCCCTTTCACTGTGCTCGCAAGAGAGTTGGGCTGTCTACATCGATACCAAAATCTGCTTGAAACTAGCCGCGAGGCAAGTTAGGCAAGGGAAAGAGACTCACGTCACAGCATCTGTGAGGGCATCTCAGGTTCAATTCGAAGAAATGCAGAAAATAACTTCTGCAGGTCCTCCTGTACTTCGAATAGGTCAAAGTCCTCTAAGCCGGACTTAGATGGCGCTTAAGTGGGAGCCCTCCCTTTAAGGCTCTAACCTCGTGAAAGTCTGCTTTGTCTCTCTCAATGGTTCATGATCAGGATCGGAACCCACATGCAGTTTCAAAGCATGAACGGTTCAAACCCTGACATCCACAGAA